TGTTGCATCATTCTTGAAAACAATAAAATATATAACATGAACATATAATGTTTCCATTGAAACAATGTAGAAATATCCAACTTTTTAAAGGGGCGAAGGCAATCCACATGATAGATTCATTAAAATAATTTTAAAAGTATGCTATTAATAATTGGAATATCATAGATTATTACATAAACTTGTTAGGTAGTAAGCTGCAAAGAGGAATTTGCTATCGGGGCTTTTTAAAGTATATGATTTCTTTTTCTTTCTTCGTCGTCGTCTTCTACTTTCTTTTTTTTCCTCTTTTTTGCTTTAATCACCTGCCAATCTTAACTGAACTAACAGAGACAGAGGAAGGAAACATATTCAGGACACAGCAGAAGGAATACTTAATACAGACATGAAGGAGAAATTTACATACTATTCAAGACCTCTAGTTCCTTAACTGGAAGTATGGGAGAGTCTCTATTTTTAAACTCTGAACATCACCAGGACCCTGAATAAGAGGTTTATATGCATTTTTTTCCTTTCATGAAATGAAATTCAGCATCTACTGAAAGAAAGGGAGGTGTCTAATTTTTATCCAACTTTAATTACACTTGCTTGACTTTAAATCAAGAGTTCTCAAACTTTCTTGGTTCATGGCACCCTTACTGTCTCAGCAATTTTTTTCAACACTTGCTAGCCAGAAAAAAATATCTAAGAGTTTCACTTATTAAATAGTACTATTAAATAACATAACAGTAATAATCTGTGTGGTGTACAACGGATGTTGCTGTGCTTCCATTGAAAACATACAATATCCTGCAGTGCCTCTAAGTCTGCTGTGGTGTCTTGGAGCACCACGGTGCAGTTTGCAAAATATAGCCCTAAATCAGTAAAATACAAAATAGTAGTTGGAAACTATGTAAAGCATCTTAAAAATCTTAAAGAGTAGAAGCCAGCTGCAATTTGTATAAGAATTCAGGTGAATCAGGTGAAATCACAAAAAGTAAATACGAAGAATTTGTCCTAGCTGGAAAGAAGAAACACATAGAATGTCTGTTACGTTTATAAGATAGTCACACACACACACACACACACACACACACACACACGCATGCACGAACTAGGCTTAAGATGACATCCAGGGAAGAAAAAGAATAATAAATAAAATAAGCACCCAAATAAAATAACCATCAAACATACAAGGAAAATTAATTAGGCTATGTAAATGTAAAAGGAAAAGTAATGATAAAATTTTAAATATAGTCAATAACAATTGATCAGAAACAGTCCTGAATAACCCCATAGTGTATGTAAGGAAATCTGTGCTCTTTGATGTGCAAACAAAATCAAAATTGGCTGTAAAAATAAACCTGCCTCCTTCTTCCTCCTTCTCAGTCTAAGCATGGCTGTAGCTTATCTTTTCCCCTCTGAGCTGCCAAACAATGTTTAGCAGAGAGATGCCTCTGTTTGTCAGCAGAAACCTGACTAAATTGAGTTCTTTGGTACACAATTTTTGTACTTACACAAAGAGGAAGAAAGAAAATCCTAGAAAAAACAGTTTGAAGAAAGTAATAAGAAATGTCAATAGAGTAGATCACAGGGCAAAGACTGTATATTTAGAGTATAAATTTAAAACTAATACAATGCAAAATATATATGTATGTCTGACGTTTCTTTGCACCACAAATAAAGCATTCTTAAGGTTTCTTTTGTAACAGGACAGTTGCGAAGTTGAATGCAACAGTACAGCATCAACTCTCAGTTAAGTGGCTTTGGAAGGCTTTGCTTTAAAGCCTAAGTATTGTATTAAACAAGAGGAGGGATTAGGGATTGGGGCGGGGGTGAGGGGTGGGGAGGGAATGGCCTGAATAGTGGGAAATGAGACACATCCAGAAAGGTAGGGAAGGAAATTATCATGAATACTGCTGCATTTTGCAAAGATTCATTCCCTAATGGAACAATTTCCCAGAAAAACAGAAGGCTTTCTCTGATTAGAACTATAAGTCACAAAGAAGAAAAAAGTTTGTTATCAGTTTTTATAAATATTGAGTTAAAACAGGGGCCATATGCCTCATATTCTGACCTGTGGGTCTAAATTAAAGTTGGTTTAGTATATAACCACTGATTCATTATAGCTCCCTAAGGACCACAGATGCTTCAAACTAGAAGGAAGAACTTTGGAAAATCTGTTTAGCACAATTTTACTCGACCTTAGCCAAAAGGCCAAGAAGCAATATTTAGGGCAATTTCAGTCAGTTTTAAAAGCATTCATTAGATGCTTATAAATGATCCATCAGGTAAAGAAGAAAGCCTGTAAATAAACCAAACTACAAAAAAGCATTCTAAAGGCGTGTGCAAGGCCAACGGCCACTCTAAACAAAATTATGACATTAATTAGCATTCTACTGTTTTTTTTCATTCCCTTCTCTGATGCCTCTCTCTACTTTCCCACTCCAGATACTTATACTTAACTTCCACTAACTTTGCTTTCAACTAGTAGCCAATTAATAACAGAGATGTGTTAGTAATGCTCCCAGAGGTATTTGCATCTGAATGTAAATTATTTGAAAACTAAATAAACTTCAATCAGCCTCAAAGGCAGTACTTCTCAACCTTGGCTGCACATTAGAATTACCTAGGGAGTTCTTAACATTCAGGCCACAGATTTAATTCGTTAGGAGTGTGGCCTCAAGCATCAGAATTTTTTAAAGTCCTCCAGGTGATTCCAACGTAAGGCCAAAGTTGAGAACCATCAGTTTAGGGAAAGCATTTGAAAAAATAAAATTTCAAAGCTAGTAAAGGAGATGTTTTTGAGTGGAGATATGTCATGTTGCTATGTTGAGGTTGCAAACTGGTGAAAAAGTTCTGTTCAAGGTAAAGGACCATTTTTATTATGAGAGAAAATGCTCATAACAAAAAAAATCACTAGAGACTCAATTTGTAAGTCTTGATTTTAGCAAGCTACTTTGCTGGAGTTTTATTTATAAAATAAAAATAATAATAGCAATGACTATCTCTTGGTGCTGTTGAGGATGATCAAATGAAACAGGGCACCAGAAAATGTTTTATAAACTGTAAAATTTTATTATGACATAGCTGAGCAGTAGAACTATTTATCATTAAAAAGACTAGTTGTAATGTGGATTATAACTATAATATGGATTATTACCTAAAAGATTTGTCATTTTGTTTTAATAGGTACTTCCTGAAATCTAAGTGTCTAGCTCAGTGTTTCTTGAAGTATGGTTCCCAAACCAGTAGCACCAACATTACCTGGAAACTTGTTAGAAATGCACATTCTTGGAGTCTACCCCAGACCCACTGAATCAGAAACTGGAGGCATAACCTTGCAATCTGTTTGAACAAGACATCTGGGTGATTCTGATGCATACTAAAATTTAAGAACTTCACATCTAGCCAAGCATTAGCAAAAAGACACTATGTATGACTAAAATCAAAAGTTGAATATACAGTATTTGTTATTTGAACCTTTAAAAGTCACAGTTCAAAGGCATACTGGCATAAATTACTACTTAAAAAAAAACTTCCTAAAACTTTGTATTTTATTTAATTTTTTATTTTTTGAGGAAGATTTGCCCTGAGCTAACATCTGCTGCCAATCCTCCTCTTTTTGCTGAGGAAGACTGGCCCTGAGCTAACATCCGTGCCCATCTTCCTCCACTTTACATGTGGGACGCCTGCCATAGCATGGCTTGACGAGCGGTGGGTAAGTCCGCACCCAGGATCCAAACTGGTGAACCCCGGGCTGCCCGAAGTGGAATGTGCTAACTTAACCACTGCGCTACCAGGCTGGCCCCTATTTATTTTATTTTATTTTTTTTTGAGGAAGATTAGCCCTGAGCTAACATCTGTGCTCATCTTCCTCTATTTTCTATGTGGGATGCCTACCACAGCATGCTTGATAAGCAGTGCATAGGTCTGTGCCCTGAATCCAAACTGGCGAAGCCCAA